GGCCTGCCTGCCTGGTTTTCCCCCTTGGGGTAGTCTTTGTTGTTGTTTTGTTTTAGTTTATTATTAAAGAGCCCATACTTCCTGCATCTTGAGTCCTCGCCTCATCTCTCCACCCAGACCATGACAGAATGAACCAGCCATTTGAGGACTCTGTGGAGAATGGGCTCACTCCAGCTTCCAGCCTTGACTAGATGCAACCCCGTCTACCAACACGTGCTCCAGGTAGCAGCATTGAGTTCCCTTTGCCAACGGGACTGAGAGGTCCCTGAGGTACCTTCTCCAGAACAGCCTGCCACAGAACAGCCCCCTCTCACTTCTGCTGCCACGAGGGCCGTCACTGAATAGACCGCTCTTCTTGTCTCGGCCATGGAGGCTACCTCAGAGCCGTAAGGTCTCGCTGTCATGGTGGAAGGGTCTCTGCTGGCTCTGCCCTGACTCCTGGCCCTGCCGGCTCCAACCATGATCCTTGCCCTGCCGGCCCCACCTAAGTTGGCCACCCTGCCTTGTTGGCCCAGGAGCCTGCCTCAGAACTTGCTCCAGTCCGGGAGCCCTCAGAGTCCACTCCAGATCCCGCTCCAGTCCGGGAGCCTTCAGGGCCTGCTCCTGTTCCTCCAGAGGTGGCGGCTTCTGCTGCAGAACCTCCAGAGGTGGCGGCATCCTCTTCAGTTCCTCTCAAGTGGTGGTTCTCTTCTCCATCTGCTCTGCCTGCTCCACCCTGGTGGGCTTCAGCTCTGCCTGCTCCGCCCTTGTGGGCTTCAGCTCTGCCTGCTCTTCCCTGGTGGGCTTACGCTCTGTCCTGGCTTCCTGCTCAGCCAACTCCGCCCTGGCTTCTGCCTTGCCGGCTCCACCTTGGCTTCCTGGTCTACCTTTGGTAGGATCTGGATAATTTGGTTCTTCGAATGCACCTGTTGTTGATGATGGATAGTATGGCTGGATTGAGCTATCTGAGATAATTACGCGTTCATGGGTTGGTTTAAAAGGGGCTATGTATCGATACTCGAAACCACGATCAGCAATGCAGCAATTGATTGGCAGCAAGACAGCAACGCAATGACATCATATAATTAAAAAATAGCAACTCATAATGTAATTACTGCACATAATGCAAAACTGCACATAATGTAATAAATATTACATTATTATTGTAATAAAATGTTCATAATGTAATTTCTCAAAACGTAATACAATTTTGAGCTCATAATGTAATAATAATTTTTCAATGTAATAATTTTTCACATAATGTAATAGGTTATTGTATGATAAATTTATTACATTATGAACACACTGTGGCAACTTATAATGTAATCACAGTTCATAAGGTAATACCAGCACACAATTTAAAACAGTTATTATGTTTACAATATCATAATTATCTTTCAATATAATAAATTTGAGCACAAAACATAATCATAGTTTTATTAAAATGGTTTCACAGACAGGGCTTAGACTAAGCCAGGATTAGGCCATAGTTCAATTAGGACATTTAAAGGTGACATATCATGAAAATCTGACTTTTCCTAGTTTTAAGTGCTATAATCAGGTCCCTGGTGCATCTACCAACCAAGGAAACGTGAAAAAGATTAACCCAGGTTCTACACAAATGTATAGGCCTAATGCATTTATAATTTGGCGATATGATTACACGGTTTTATCTTCCTGAGATAAATGTCACGTAACTGACACATTCTTCACAGCCTGTTATACTGATGATTTCCCTGGTTAAAACCGCTTATAGGCACAGAAATGATGCGTGATTGTAAGTTGTACTTTATTTTTCAACATATCCTCTGACGTACATTCATGTTATAACTTAAAGTGAAGAATTGTTCATTGTGCTCTGTGCTGCCGTTGCCTGAGGCAGATAACACAATCTATCCCAGACTACATTAGATGGAAATTGTTTTTGTTTTTTTCCAAATTTGTTCATAAAAAATGCCTTCAATTCAAGGATATAGAATTTAGTAGGGTCGCAACTGAATTGTTCCTAGCAATCATTTCGATCAATTAAAATATATTTATATGTAACCACTGTCGTTGTCATCATACCACAAACATTACCTGAGATGTTAAAGTCCACATGAAATCAAAATTTACAATATTTATTTTGTTAGCGCACATTGCTAGGCAACAATTAATCTGTGCAAGTTAATCTTCCCTAATTGCAGATTCTATTATTAGATTTGTCAGTATTAATATGTTTATGCTTCGATTTTTTTTGGGAGGGGGGTGTATCAAACTGTAACACCGTGTGTCCCAACCAGACACGACGCGATAAAAAGTATATTTTCTTTGTAGTTTTTGTCCTAACCACACGCAACATCGACACTTGACAATAAGCCACATGGGATTCTATTTTAGGAACGTTTTTTATTTTCTGCGACGTCGCGGCAGGAGCAACATACAAAATATGACAGTAATAATCTCAGGTAATGATTATGTGCTTTATTCAATGTTAAAAGTGTCTAATGTGAGTTTGAATATTATTGTGCGTTATCTTTATAGCCATAGTGAAAGCAACAATAGGCTAGATATTTTACCTCAGATCTTGAAAATAAATTAAAGCAAACTTGTACGTTAAAACTGTGAACTCACTGCGAACCAACACGTGTATTCCATAACAAAGATATCACTCACTCACTCAAAACTGTTCAGTCCATTCACATTTGAATCATCTATTTTCCTTGTCCACTTTTCTTTTCTACACACTCGCCATGTGTTTGCCGTCACATCGTATCTACACTGGACACGACAAAACATTGCAAATCATTTGAACGTTGTGTCAGTACGTTATAAATAGAACTAGTCAGCAGTTTACTGTCGGGGATTTGTCGTGACGCGCCGCATCCAAGACAGCATCACTGATTATAACCAGTTATTGTATTTTATTGTGTCGCGCCGCGCCGCTCGCGTCTGGTGTAGACACATGTAAGTTAATGTAGCTTTCTGATGCTGCGTTTGAATTTTCATGCCACATTATTTGAAATTAGCCGGGCCAAACTTTTTTCTGTGTTTTTTGATGTGGCCCGCCGTGCCGCCTATTGAGGAACCCTGTCTTAAAACCTATTCACAAAGCTGCTGAGACAAACTTTTTCTAGGGAATAGAGAGAAGAAGCTAAGAGTAAAGGGCGGGATTGACCTTGTTGCTATGAATGATGTCAGCATGTTCACTAACTATGCACACAGTGATTGGCTGATAGGGGAGGGGTCTCTGTCAGAGATTTATTCATAGAAATATTGAGCACGATGTTGCCATATATAAAGGTTTAAAAATAAAAATGTTGCCACATTCAAATAAAGATTTAAAAATGCAGGCTAAGTGTCAATAATTAAACAAGTATATGTTCAGCTAATTGTCTGCCTCTTACATGTATGCTTCTCGTTAACAATTCGAGAATATGCATATAAACATCCTTTTAATTAACAGAGTAGAATAATCATGGCTGATAGTAATACATGCAAATGTAAAAAAAA